TTTCTGCGCGTTTAAACATGATTCAATAACTCTCCTTTATTTCTTTTATTTTTCTTTGAGTTTTTTTTTTGCTACCTTAATATTATTCCCTCCCTTCCTCCCCCCCACCATACCCAAACCTCACCCTGTAGGGGAAGAACATCCTTATAATAAATATGCACAGTCAAGCAAAAAAAAAAAAACCCCACATTGGCCAAGTCTGAAAATGTATATCTTATCTTGCACCTTGGTTCTATCACTTCTATGTCAGGAAGTGAGTAGTGTGCTTTATCATCACTCCTTTGGAGTTGATCATAGTTCTTAAGTCTTTCAAAGATATTTTTATAAGTTTGTTATTATGATATAAATTGCTTTCTTGGTTCTGCTGGCTTCACTCAGCAATAGTCCATTCAAATGTTCACACTTTGCTCTGAAACTATCCCTTTAGTCATTTTATAATATTCCATTACATTCCTGTATCATGATTTGTTTAGCTATTCTCCAACTGATAGACAACTTCTTTGTTTCTAGTTATTTTTCAGGACAAAAAGAGCTGCTATAAATATTTTTGTACTATGGACCATTTTCTTCTCTCTTTTTTTTATATCTTTGGGGTACAGACTGAGTGGGATGCCCCTATGAAGACTTCTCAGTGTAATTAAGGTTTGGGATAAGATTATCCTGAATTTGTAGATAAGTTCAGGAGGCAGAATAGGATAAGTATAGATTTCTATAGTTCCCCCTTCTCCCAGTGTTAAGTCAGTAGTTAAAGATTGCCAAGCCTGAAACCCCCGCCTTGTACCCCTGTATTCTGTTACTAAATTCTGGTCATGGTGACCTTTCCACAGCAGTGGCTAGCTTGAATGCACATTCTAAATTGTTCATTTTTGCAGCAAACTAAGGTGATGGATATGTATATTGTTTCTTTGTTCTCTGTCTCTGGGAATAGATTTTTGCGTTTAGATTGTAAGCCAAAATATTGGTCAGTTGGTGGGAGGGGGAATCTCACCTTTAGGGTTATTTAATCTGGCTTTTTGCTTCTGTACTTGTCTTCCTTCATCAGAAATCATGCTGGTGCAGGAACACCCGATTTTTGGGAATTGAAATAAACTTTCTGTTCCTACCTTGAGATACCTCTGAGTTGTTTTTTTTTTTTTAGGACACTACCCCACACAAGACCTAGTGGTGGTATTGTTGGATCAGAGGAGTACTTTTGGGTCATAATTCAAAACTGCTTTCCAGACTGGTTGGACTCATCTACAGCTTCAGCAACATTGAATAAGTCACTCAATAAACATTTATTAAGTACTTTGTATGTGCCAAGCATTGTGTTTAGCATTGGGGATATGCATGAGAAAAAGTACTGTTCTTGCCTTCAAGGAGCTTATAATAGAATGAGGAAAGACAACACACAAGGAAATAGAAAAAGGGGAATTGGGGAAAGGGAATGTATGATGAAGTCCAAAAGAAAGCAACCAAATGGGAAATGAGGAGATGGCTGGCCTGGGCACTCTCCTTACATGGATTTTCTGGGAGGAGCACTCCCTTCGCTATGCTCCAATCAGAGGAAGAGAAGGGCGCCGGAGTAGATGAGGTATGTATGATCTTGCAGGATGAGGAGAATGTTGGGGCATAATGAAGAAGTCTAAAGGAACGTAGCTGGTGGGAAATAAAGAATTGGATGGTTTGAGTTCCCTTCTTAAGTGGAAATTCTCAATTCTCCACCTTTCAATAACAGGGGCAGAAGGCAACTGATGAGGTGTGAATACCAGGGGGGTGATGTGGTTTTGCAGGATGGTGAGGTTCCTGGGTTAGCATTCCTGTCTTCGCATAGCCCATCCAGCAATTGTGATTTTCATTTTTTTTTTCATCTTTTCCCATCTGATGAGTGTGAGGGTGAACCACAGAATTGCTTTAATTTGAATTTCTATAATTATTGGTGTTTCAGATCATTTCTTCATATAGTTATCAATAGCTTGGATTTCTTCTTTTTAAAACTCTTTGCTCATGCAGTTTGACCAATTATCTATCAGTAAAGGACTATCATTCTTATTTATTTGAGCCAATTCCTTATATATCCTGTATGTGAGACCTTTATCAGAGAAAACTGCTACATATTTCCCCCTCCACCTTTTCCCTTTCGATTTAATTGCATTGGTTTTGTTTGTGCAACAACTTTTAAAATTTTACATAATCAAAATTACATATTTTATCTTCTGTGGTCTTCTTTATCCCTTGTTAGGTCATGGGCTATTCTCCCATCCACAAATGTGAAAGTTATTTTCTCATTTTTCTTCTAATTTGTTGTGATGTGGTATTTTTACATCTGCCATGATCCTTTTGGATTATAGTATCCATGATATCTTAGTATTTGGTGTGAGATTTTGGTCTATATCTAATTTATGCTACACTATTTACAATTTTCACAAAAATTTTTGTCAAATAGTAAGTCTTTAACCCAGTTGCTGGGGGCTTTGTGTTTATAAAACTCCAAGCTACATATATTCATATGTTGTATTTCTAATCAGTCCCACTGATTGACCTCTCTATTTTTTAACCAAATCATTTTGAGAATTACTGCTTCATAGTACAGCTTGAAATCTGGGACTGCTAGGACCCTTTCCTTCTGATTTTGTTTTCATTATTTCACTTGAGATTTTTGACCATTTGTGTCTCTAGATAAATGATATTATTTTTTCTAATTACATAAAGTAATCCTTTGGTAGTTTGATTAGTATGACACTGAAAAAGTAAATTTATATTGTATTAAGATTTTATTATATTGGATCAACCTATCCATAAGCAATTAATTTTTTAAAGTTATTTATTTCTATATTTTTTTTAGAGTGTTTGATAGTAGCATTCAAATACTTTCTGCTTATATCTTGTTAGGTAGACTCCCAAGTATTTTATACATTTTAGTCTTAAAAATATTTTAATAATTCACATTTATCTAACATTTTACATTTCCTTCCTACCTTACACATCATCTACACGAACTCATTCCATCCTAGCTACAACACTGTGAGTTACATATATAAAATAATTATTTTCTTCTGGCTATTTTGTAGAAATTTATCAGGAAAAATTGAAATTCTAAACAAGTAAAATGGTTTGCCCAGGGTCATAAGAACTGGCATTCAAACTGAAGTCTTTAGTCCAGTGTTTTTACCATAACATTGTACTTCCTGTTTAAGATAGCTCAGAACATTGAATTTGTAGACAGAGGAGAGAACAATCTATTTTATTAGTCTCCCCTCCCCACAAACCAGCTCTAGTTTTATTTATTAATTCAATTGGGGATTTTCGCTTTCAATTTTATTAATCTCTTCTTTGATTTTCCAGAATTTCTACTGTGGCAGTCAGTTGGAGTTTTTTTATTTGTTACTTTTCTAGTTTTTTAATTGCATACACAATTCATTGATCTGCTTTCTTCTCTCTTTTGTTGACAAAAGTGCTTAGAGATAGAATTTCTCCACTAAGGACCGTTTCAAATGCATTCCATAAATTGTCTCATTGTTGTAATTTTCCTTAGTAAAATTTTCTATTTTCTATGATTTTTTTCTTTGACACAACAATTAAAGCAGTTTAAAAATTAATTTTAATCAGTACTTCAAAGGCCTTTTATTAAATGTTAATTTATTAAAATAAAGGTCAATAAAGGATTTTTAATATTTTTACTTTTCTGCATTAGTTTTTGAGGTTTTTATGCCCTAATACATGTACAGTTTTTGTAAAGGTGACATACCCACTATGTAAACTCCTTTTTCTTTCCTTTCAGTAACTATCAGAGATATATAATATTTACATTTTCTAAAGTTCTATTAGGTCAGTTAGGGTAGACCAGACTCAGGCCAGTATCCTATTAGTCCAAGTTTGATGTTGGAACCAAATGAGGCACTCAGAAGTAAGTCATTAAGGTTAACAAAACGAGGCACAGACTCCCACTTATCTCCATATGGAAATGCATCTGTTCAGCAGTGCCAAATGTGTTAACTCATGCAGTCTGGGGACATACTCCAGGTCTAGAGGGTTTGACTCCACATGTGTGAATCTTGGTATGCCCTTAGGTGCTAAGGAAGCCACATCAATAATGCCAGAAGCTACCAGGAAGCTGTGTCAAGGGGAACAGTAGCTTGATCCTTGGTCACTTGGTCCAATCAAGTCTTGGGGACAACTTTGTTACCTATCAGGGAAAGATTAATCTAATTCATGTTGCTGGGAAAGAGAGGAAGCATTATAGGTAGTGGTCGTATCACATACTGCCCCACAGGGGCAAGGTCCTAAGAATCTTCTGCAGTGCTTCTTAAATTGTGGGTGCGACCCCATATAGGGTTATGTAACTGAATGTGGAGGTTGCAAAAAAAAAAAAATGGCAACAGTACAAAATTTCTGAACACGCGATGACCAAAAATTAATACAAAATCAAACACGTAATGAATGCAAGGTGTTTCTGGCAATGCTTGCCCATGTTGCATCACACAGCTTTATTGCAGCCTTGGTTCTGAACACACATGTACATTTTGCACTGTGCATGCTGTCATGCCACACAACACCAACGAACACTGCCAGAAATACCTGGGCTCAGATTCGGGAATATTATATGCTATAAATTGCAGTGTTTTTACTGTACATACAAAGTTTTCTGCTCTTATAGAAACATAATAGTTTAATTACGGAAAATAAAGAGTTTTAATGTTTCCCTACGGTCATTCCTCAGCATGTCAGTATCAAATTAGTATATCTTTTGGTTGTATTGTGTTAGAATGTTTGATTTTTAAAATTGTTATCTCCTTCTTTTACAGAAACATAAGTATTTAATTGCAGCAAGTAAAGACAAAAGCTCTTTAATAATATTTCTCTACCATCACCGCTGTATGTGTATATAAGTGTGAACATCAATTTTTAAAATTAAGCACAAACAAATGTAATTTCATAAACTAAAGCTAGTATTTATTTGATAAATTATTAACAACATTTATTTATATTTTAGGACAAAAATATTTTTCAGTTATGGATAAATGGCTAAATTTGGACAGAAGAGGTAAAAATACTGATGACAATGCAGCAGAATCTTTGCTACCAGGTTGTAGTACACCTAAATTGATAAGAAAAAGAAAATATGTTGAATCATTTTTGCAGTATGGATTTATTTCTAATAATGATGATGATGTGGAAAAACCCTCTTGCTTAATTTGTAATGAAGTTTTGGCTGTGGAGAGCATGAAATGAGTCAAACTAAAATGACATCTTAATACCAAGCATGCAGCGTACTGCAATAAATCAAAGGAACATTTTGAACAACTTTTAAAATCTTCAAATAAAGAAAAACAATGTTTTGAGAAATTTGTTACTGTCAACAAAAAGTATTTACTTGCATCTTACAAAACTTCTTATTTAACTGCAAAAACTAAAAAGTCCTACACAATAGGAGAAGATCTCATGTTACTTGCTGCTATTAAAATGTCAGAAATAGTTCACGGGAAAAAGTATGGAGATGAAATTCATAAAATTCCTTCACTGAATGATACTGTTTCCAAAAGAATTTCTGATATTAGTAATAACCAATTCCACCAGCTTATTACCAAGCTGAAGGGCAGCCCAAAGCTTGTAATTCAGTTAGATGAAACAACTGATATGTCTAACATGGTACAGTTGTTACTTTATGTAAGATATGTTTATGAAGGAAGCATAGATGAGGAATTATTGTTCTGTTGCCTTTTGGAAGGGCTCACAAGAGGGGAAGATTCATCTTAAAGTCAATGGATTTTTCACAATGAAGGTTTATGGTGGAAAAATAGTGTTGGAGTCTGTATAGACAGTGCTGGGGCAATGATGGACAAGAATGTTGGATTTGTAGCAAAAGTTAAAGCTGGTGGCAATGAACATACCACTTTTATTCACTGCATGATCCATCGGGAGGCCCTCATAGCAAAAAAAAAAAAAAAAATCACCAGAATTAGATGTTGTGCTTAGTGATACTATCAAAATCATTAACTTCATTAAAAGCTGTGCCCTTAACAGTTGTTTGTTTTCAAACCTTTGGAAAGACATGGACTCCAATTACAAAAGCTTATTACTATATGCAGAGGTGAAGTGGCTCTCAAGAGGGTGAAGTTTAAACAGATTATTGAAATGAAAGATGAAGTTGTTATATTTTTGACTGAGCAGAAATTCAATTTTGTTATTTTTTTATAATAACTTATGGCTTTCAAAACTGTTGTTTGTCAGATATTTTTGAAAAACTCAGTGATTTAAACATGTCGATTCAAGGAAAAAATTGTAACATTTATGTTAAAAGATAAAACTGAAAGTTTTAATAAAAAGTTAATATGTGGAAGAATAGGATGGAAAATTGTTCTTTAGAAATGTTTACAACTATAGATGATTTTATAATTGGAAATAATCTTTCCACAGATTTAATCGTAAAAGTTATAATTGATCATCTGAAGTTCCTGGAGACACAGTTTCAAAAATACTGACCTTCAAATTTTGATTCTAAAAAACTAAGTTGGGTTCATAAACCATACTCAATTGAAATAAAAAATATCAATCATTTGCCATTAAAAGTTCAAGAAGAATTTGCCAAGTTATCAAGCAACACAGGTTTAAAACTTGAGTTCCCTAAAAAATCATTAAATTAATTTTAGCTTGGGATTAGGACAGAATTTCCAACAATTTCTGAAATGGCCTTAAACACACCTCTGCCATTTTGTACTATGTATTTATGCAAAGTGGCATTCTCATCATTGATGATTATAAAATCAAAATATCGATCAACTCTGAAAAACTTTGATAATGCTTTACATCCTGCAGTATCAAATATTATGCCAAGATTTAATTCTTTATGTAAAAATAAACAAGCACATCTATCTCATTAATATGCAAATTTGCTTTCATCTTTAATAAATTCTAAAATTATATGTATACCAAAGAATTGTTTTAAAATACATTTCTTTATGATTTATTATCAGTAAATGTTTGTTAGAAATGTTTGATTTGATCCGTAAATGTATTTTATTTTATATACCTATATATCATGTAAAAATTTCTCGGGCAAAAAGGGGTCATGAATGGAAGAAGCTTAAGAAGCCCTAGAGCAACGGTGTTAAACTCAAATAGAAACAGGGGTCACTAAACCATACATAAGGATCCCCATGGACCTGCAAATCGACTCAGTTTTAAACTATGATATTATATATGTTGTATTGTATTTTTATATATTTTATTAAATATTTCTCAATGACATTTTAATCTGGTTTGGGCCACACTCAGGAGTGTTCTGGACTGTATGAAGCCTGTGGACCACGTGTTTGATACCTCTGTTCTAGAGGTCCTTCCACCATTTGAATGCTTTTTGTGTTTTTATTGAAAAATCCTGCAGGCACAGGAGTAGTACGAAGGGGAGTAAGAGGAAGAAAAAAGAAAAAGAAAATTTTAAAAAGTAAAAACAAAATACACAGAACAATAACAAAACAAATTAATACCTATTCCTACCCCCCTACCCCGCCTAAAAAAAAAGAAGTTACCATAGAGAAAAAGAAAAAGGTTGGAGAACAAATGCAAGAAATATTAGACTTTTCTTACTCTCTTCAGAAGGACCAAGTCTCAGATCTCAAAGATCTGGGGTAATACCAAATATCTGCAGTTCACGGTGAGTCACATGTTGCAGGAGATGACTAGAAGCAATACCATCAGGGACACAGCACAGATGAAGAAACTTCCAATACAGTCACACACCGATTCTTCTCCTACTGTAATGATGGGTGACAATGATAAGAACATCAGGGACATAGCACAGATGATGATACTTCTGGCATAGTCAATAATTTTTCATCACATGTCAGAGTCATCAGTAGAAAGTGATTAAGAGGTCATAAGCTTCTACTACAAAACCTGTCCAGGATCTAGCTTGATAATGAGACTTTTCTCCATTACCCCTACCCCCTACCCCCTACTCAGTATTCCCTGGCACACATGCCAAAACCTCCCCCTTCCTGGAAGCCACATTAGGATTCGTTAATCAATCAGTCAATAAACCTTTATTAAGTGCCTGCAGATGGAAGACCTGAGATCAGGGGGAAGGGCTCTCCTCTTCACATGGGAGGCTCTTCATGTCGAGGGAGGTGGGTGAACAGGCTACCTGGTGGAGCAGGAGGTAGAAGTTACTGTGTGCTGGTACAGATGGAAGTCTCCTCCAGATAGCCCCTAGGAATCTGAGACTGGCTATCAGGCCTGTGTAGCATCAGATGGAAGATGTAGTCAGAGGGAGGTCATTCCTCTTCTCACCTGAGGCTGGAGATCAGGTGGGAAAAGCATAAGGAAGAAGATAGTCAATAAACATTTATTAAGTACCTACCAGTGCCAGGCACTGTGCTAAGTGCTGGGGATACGAATACCCCTTTTTGTAAATAATACAGAATTCCCTTCTTCCAAGTAAATACACATTCACTATTGTAGGTGAAGCTCTATCACCAGCATCATCTTAGTTTGGGTTCAGTATTGGGATGAAAGGAAGCACTCATAAGTCATTGAACATTTAACAAAGAATGTTTACTGTGCCCTAACATAGCAAGAATATACAACAAGGATAAAATGACACTTAGCTTCTTGAACTTTCCTTTTGTCTTCATCTGGAAATGAGTCTGTTCAGAGTGCCATCAGGATTTAGTGACTTGCAAGGTCTTAGACACTCACCAAGTCTAAGAGACTCAGACTTCACATGGCTGGGACTTTTTATGCCCCAAATGATCCAGAAGCCACGACAGGGAAACTGAGGCAAAACTGTTGTAAAGGGCAGCTTTGTCCTATCAGATATATAGCAAGGCACCTTTCAGCAATACCACCTACTTTTCCCCCCAGGTATTGTCGAAAGTGCTCCAGAGGAAAGAAAACCTGCCAGTTGAGAAGGAAGTTGTTCAGTTGTTCTATTGTGTCTGACTCTCTGTGACCCCATTTGGGTTTTCTTAGCTAAGATACTGGTTTGCCATTTCCTTCTCCAGCTCCTTTTATAAATAATGAAACTGAGGCAAACATGATTAAGTGACTTGCCTGGGATCACATAGCTACTAAGTGTCTGAGGCCAGATTTGAACTCAGGGAGATGAGTCTTCTGACTCCAGGCCTGGCACTCTATCTACTGCGCCACTTAGCTGTCCCCTTGAGAGGGACCTAAGCTATTTCTACAGGGCATACAGAGCCCTCTGACAGGGCAAGGACCTCAAGACTCATGCAACTTTGTGCTGGGCAAGAAACAAGAGGGACAACTGGAACTATGTCCAAAAGCAGTCCATTCTTATCAGGTAAATCTCTGGAGACTAAGATGCAGGAAACCACTGGAATGGAGAGCCCTTTCCTTTCCTAGAGTGGCATTAATTCATCACAAGCATGATTTCTGGGTAGTCAGACACCTGACCTGGGCAGTCAGGTGCATGATGATGGAGATATTGATTGGCAGGATCAAACTTTTTGCCCTAAGATGGGTTAAGAGGGATATGATTCCAGGTGGGGACAGGTTGAAGCCCACTTAGGAGAGTCAGCTACTCCAAAAGACCCAGTCAGAAGTTGACCTGGGCAGTAACATCAGCTAGAGAATAAGGACTCCAGGATTCAAGTGTGAGTAACTGTGAGGATAGTGGTATCTTTGACCGTAATGGGGAAGTTAAGAGAATTTGGGAGTAAAGATCAAGATCATTTTTGGACATGTTGAGTTTAAAATGTCTAAGGAAATCTGAGATGTCCAATGGGCAACTGGAGATGTAAGACTGGAAGTCAGGAGAGACATTAAGGATGGATAAATATATCTGAGAATCATCTGCTGAGAGATGATATGAGAGCTGAAGACATCACCAACAGAAATAGTTTAGAGGAAGTCTTCTTGGCCCTCTTGGGCCCAAAACAGAGGTTTTGAGAGAGGCACTCATAGTTAGTGGGCATGACCTGAATGAAGATGCAGCAAAGGAGATTGAGTAGGAGCTATCAGATAGGAAAGAAGAGATTCAGGAAAGAGTATTATAACAAAAATCTAGAAAGAAGAGAGAATCAAGATGAAGTAGATAATCAATAGCATCAGAAGCTGCAGAGGTCAAGAAGAATGAGTGAGAAAAGACCATTAAACCTGGAAATTAAGAGATCATTGATGATCATAGAGAGAGCAGTTTCAGCTGAATGATTAGGTCAAAAGCCATATTGCAGAATTAAGAAGAAATTGAAAGGAAAAGAACTGAAGGACTGATTATAGATGGCCTTTTCAAGGAGTTTAGTCACAAAAAGGAGAAGAAATATAGTATGATAGCTAACTGGTATGGTTAGATCAAATGAGGATTATCTAATGATGGGGGAGACATGGGCATGTAAGCAGTAGGGAAGCTGCCAGTAGACAGAGAGACTGAAGCTAACTGGAAGGGTATGGATGATTAGCTGGCAGTCTGTTGGAGACAGAATTGGATTGCTTATGTAGGTAAAGGCATTTGCCTTGGTAAATCTTCCTGTGGGACAGGGGCGAAGGAGATAGTGGCAGAAAGCATCTGGTGAGTTATAGGAAATGAGGAAGAGAGAAGAAGGAAACTCACAGTAAATAGCCTCAATTTTTTTCTTTAAAATATGAAGCAAGGTTCTCAGCTGAGAGTATAGGACAAGGGAGTATGTATTACGGGAAGTTTGAGGAGGGAAGAAAAGGTTTGGAAAAGCAATTATGTCGAGTGGATAGTGAGTCAATTAGGAAGGTGTAAAAACATTTGATTGCATTGTCATAGTGAGGGCCCAGCTGAGATTATTAAACACAAATCTGTCCTCGACCCAGTCAGCAACCATATTATCCACGGCAAGTTTTTAGAAAGTGTGACCACTCTTCTGATTCCATAAGTTCCATCAGCTTCTTCCACTACCACTTCATTGCTTCCTAGATGTGCAAGCTGAGAATTCCTTTGCCTATGCAGATACTCTCAAGGTTCATCTTGCAAGAAGAAACGATTGTCATGAAAACAAAACAAAACAAAAAAAACCCCCCAAAACCCAAAGGCAAGCTGAGGAATTGCCTACTTTAAGCTACTGCTTATTTTTATGGAAAATCGTTCTAGGTTACAGCAATTTAAACTTAAGAGCCTATTTCTAAATGAGACCTGTGGTCTTTTGATCAAGATTTAAAAAAAATTTTCCTTTTTAAATGCACCTGAAAACGATTTGCTGTTTCTCTTACTCTTCTTGGGATAGGCAGGGCGAGTAAGGGACTATGTACTTTTAAGCAGGGAGGGAGCCAAATAAAAACTGAGGATCCTGGGCAGAGCATCCGGGTGCTGCAGTCTGAAGACTCGACAACCCGCCCAAAATGGACATTTCATCAACTCATCCTGTGCCTTATTTCCTTCCGTCACATTGCAGTTGCAAGCTTTCTATCACCTAATTCAAACCCTTCGTTTTACAAAGAAGGAAGCCCAGGTAAACGAAGCCATTCGCCCAAGGTCACAGTTTCCAGCTCGGTACCCACGACCTCGTCCATCCTTTCCTCCCCCCAGTCCAAGTGTGGACTTGGAAACAAAAGGGGGAGCTCAGAGTCCAAGGGCGAGCAGCCTCTCGAGCGCCCGAAGCGAGACCGTCGGGGCCGCTGCCAGATGCCAGCACAGCGCTGCCCCGCCCTGTCCCTGAGGTCCCAGGCGCTAACCCGAGCGTTAGGCCCCGGCCCACTGGCCTGCCACCTCCGCCTTTTCCCACACCCACCACGCCAGTCACTACAGCAGGCAAAGCTGAAAGAGCGGAGGGCGGGTGTACAGAGGGAGGAAGAGATTCTGCGGGGGAGGGGATAAAGCCTCGCCCTGTACCACCTCCCTCTCGCGTGGCGTGGAAAAGGGAAGTACGGTAACGAACGAGCCCGGCCCAGCCAATGGAAGCGCGGCATGCAAAGCGGAAGGCCCGTGATTGGCGGCCCCCAGGAACGGCACTCTCCTCCAAAGTCCGCCCTCAAGGCTGCAGAGCCTGGCCCCGCCCCCTTTCCTTCTCAGCTCCTCCTGCTTACTCTTCCCGCAGCCCTCGCTCCTCTCTTCTAATTTGTGGCAGTGGGCGGTTTCTCCTCTTCTGTGCTCCATTTTATCTTCTCTCTGTGCTCGCCAAACGGCGTGTGGGGCTTCGCTACTCGCTCCCTTTGGGTTGTTTTTCTCCCTTTCTAGCTCTTGGCCCGCCTCCCCCTTCTTTTTTTTCCTCTCTTCCCCTTTCATCCTCTGACCCCCGCCATGAATGAGGAGTACGACGTGATCGTGCTGGGCACCGGCCTCACGGTGAGGGCTGGGAGGGGGAAGGGAGGGGAGGAGGTTGGGCCGCTGGGGGTGGGGGTGGGGGCAGGCCGTGAGCGCCCGCGGGTGGGGGGAGGGGAGGAGGCTTTGCTCTGGGAGGGCGTGAACTGCGAGGGGGAAGCGGAGGAGAGGGGCTCCGCTCTTGGGAGCGCGTGTTGTGCAGTTTGGGGCCGGTGACAGCGGCCGCCGCCCCGCCTTCTAACGCCGCCTTCCTCCAGCTTCCTGCTTTTCTTCTCTTCTCCAGCTCTCCTCCCTTCCCCTGACCGATTTTGCTGTATTGGCGAGGTCGGATCTGATACGTTGCATACATACCAATAGCTACAGTATGATTGGCGTTTGTGGGAGACAGGACTCTAGAAGGGGGCCATTTGGTTTGTGATTCTGTAGGTCCTTAACCTAGGTTGAATACACACATCTTTTCCCTTAAAATAATGTGTTGGTGGGAAAGGGTGCCTAGGACAGGTAAGATTTCCACCACTTGGGGATGAGGACGCTTGGAGGAGCTTAAGGAACCATCCCTCCATATCCTCATGGCAGCTTCCCCTGCCCCTTCCTTTTGTGAGAGGGCCCAGGAAATGGTTTAAATCAATGAAGGGAAGGAAGAGGTCTAGATTTAAATTTTCTACTTCCTTCAAAGCGTATGAGACTTGGATAATTTTTAGCTAAACAAAAATCCAGCTCTGTAGCCGGGGATTAACTTGTATCTCTTTCCCCTCTTGGTTGATGACCTCTCCAGATGGGAGGCAGAAGAGCACTTGGCCAAGGGAGGAAGAGAGGGTTTGGTTCCTTCAGTTACTAAAATTCAATCTCTTGCAGTAGTAAGCCGGCAGAGGGATTGTATGATGTAAGAAGGTATTGTGTGATAACTGTAGACGTTCGCTAATTCTAAAAAGCTTTCAGTGCAGCATCTAAACACATTTCCTTTTTTTTCCCCCTTAGAGACATAGGTCTAATGGATGCCAAATGTTGCTTTGAGTTTTTTAGTTTTAGCAAAACCTAGCTTCCCCTTTATGGGAATGCCTTTTACTTCCCAAACTTACTGCATGTTTATAGGCTAGAAATGACAAAGACTTGCTGTTAGATTTTGGGTTTTTCTTGTTTTCTTCTATTTGGTCTTTTCTCTTTCCTGCTAAGATGTGGGTTAATGGATAGTAAAAGGCACAAATAACTCCATGACAGCTTCTTCAGGGACTTGGAAGAGAAATCAATATATATATCTATGTGAGTGCTTTCTTTACTCCATAAATGGCTTTGCCTAATTTGAATGGTTTGTGTGGAGGAAGGGGACAAAAAAGTTCTTTTGTGTCCTGTCCTTAAGAGAACTCATGTTAGTTGTTTTTTCATATCAGAGTTAAACATTCTTCATATTTCAGCATTCCCATTATTGCATTTTTTTCTCAAAAGATTATGGCTCTCTTTTTAAAAACATTTTAAGTTGGATAATTGTGATCTTGTTAATGCTACATTATAAAAATACCAGTAAAAGGCTTTTTTATGACCTTGGCATATTTTATTGAATTATAATGACCTGTATACTTTTGGGTAACTTACTGAGCAAAAAAAAAAAGTACAGAAAAAGTAAATAAGTTCTCTGTGTTGCATATCATTATATGGTTTATTTTAAGTTGAATAAATTCAGTTGGCTGAATGAACCAATTAGTATTCATAAGAAAAACAGTTGGAGGACGGGGTCAAATTGATTTGAAAATTCCACCCATAAAAAAATCTTAAAATGTGTCTTTGAGCTGTATCTTGTCCTAGCATTGTTTTGTGTCATCTGACTCATCTTAAAATTTCTGAGTCTGTGTTAAGCTTTTTTTTTATGTTCAGTAAGCAACATTTGAATGTATCCTAGTCATCTGTAATCCTAGTCTAAAAGACATGCTTATACTAGTATTAATCACTTTTGATTGATATTAAAATGACAATTTTCAGCTTTCATTTGGTTGGTTAGCCTTTTACAAAATAGTTACTAAAAGTTAATATGACCTTTTTTATCTATCACTTTAATATTTATAGTGTTTTTTGGTGTTTATTTATATTCATCTATCACATTAGATCGGATAAACTAAAGCTGTAAACTGTTATCAAAGAAGCATAGCTGTCATGGGGATTGAAAAAATGGGTACCAATTATGAAATTATTTACCTGAAAATCCTTTTAATGATTTTGAATTGAATTTTGAATTTTAATGAATTTTGAATTTTAGAGATTGAGTTGAATTTCTGTGTGATATATTGGAAAGCTGAAAAAAGCAACCATGCACATAGTTGTGGTGGGTTAGATCAGGTAGCAAGAGAATAGTACTAAGTCCATCATTTTAAACTTAGTTCCTTTCATGAACCTTCATTTTTGCTGTATGGTTGTGAATTTTCAGTGTTTTTCACTTACAAGGGTAGGCAAGAGCCAGCATGGGTTCATCAAAAACCATGCCAGATTAAACTCATTTCCTTTTATTGTCAGGGTGACTAGATCAGGGGAGTGCTTTGGACGTGGAGTCAGGAGAGAATTGGTTTTGAATCCTGACTGACACTTATAAGTTGTGTCACCATCAAGCAGTTCACTGAGTTTCAGTGTTCTCCTGTGTAAACTGGAGAAATTAGACCTATAATTTTTATCTCACAGGGTTATTGTGATCCTCAAATGAGATGATGAAAATGCCTGAGATTTATACATCTTTTGTATTAAGAACCTAGAACTACAAAGATAAAATGAAATATATTGTGCCTCATTTCAAGTTTACATTTTATTGTTGTTCAGTCATTTTTATCTTTGTGGCCCCCATTTGGGGTTTTCTTGTCAAAGATACTGGGATGATTTGCCATTTCCTTCTCCGCCTCGATTTACAGATGAGCAAACTGAAGGAAACAAGGTTAAATGACTTGCCCAGGGTCACACAGCCAATAAGTATCTGAGGCCAGATTTGAACTCAGGAAATGAATATTCCAGACTGTCAACTGCTCCTCACCTAGCTGCTCCTTAATTTTATAGGGGGAGATAATAGGTACAGCACACATAAGTGTATGCGAAATAAATAGAAGTAATTTAGAGAAATGCTAGCACAGGGGTGGGGAACCTGCATCCTGGTGGGCGCTTGAGGACCTAGAGGGCCACGTGTGGGCTTGAGGCCGTAGGTTCCCCACCCTTGTGCTAGATATTAGGAGCTGGAGGAATTGAGGAAAGACTTCTCATTGAAGGTGATAATTGAGCTGAGCTCTGAAAAAAAACTGGGAATTCTAAGAACTAAAGATGAAGAGAGTGCACTCCAGGCATGGGAGAAAGCTTGTCAGTGGCACGAAAATGGATTGTCTTATTTGAAGAATATCAAGATAATGTCAGGTTTAACCAAAGTGTATTTGAAGGAGAGTAATGTATAATAAGACTAGAAAGGTAGGTTGGAGCCAGGCTGTGAAGGGCTCCAGGTTGGGAGTGTTTAGTCTGAAGAGAAGATTTAGGTGTTATATGTGTTAAAAATCTTTAAATATTTTAAAATAGCCATATAGTTAAAAGGCATTAGACGTGTTCTGCTTAGCCCTAAACACAAAAATCCTAATGATGAAAGTTATCCAAAATAGAATGAATATGTTGCCATTGTGAGAGGCAGCATGGTGAAATGGACAAAGAGCAGCACTCTTCGAAGTCAAGAAGACCTGGGTTTCTGCCTTTGACACTGAATGGCTATGTGACCCCTGGCACTTCACTAAGCCTCTCAGGGCTCTAGGCACCTCTTTTAGACTATAAGTTCAGAGAGCTTGCCAACCTGCATTGGGAGAAGAAATTTCCTCACCTAGAAGTTATCTTTACCAGTGAAATCACTGGTCCAATTCCCATCTCTATCTTTATGTTCCCACTGGAGATGTTGGAATGTTACAAAGCTGGCTTTATGATTTGGGTAGATGTTAGACTGGGTGACTTATGAGGTCCCTTGTTTGGTCATTTTTAACATTAACATATTAATAAGCCAGGTGCAGTTTCTGTTGTTTTATTAGAGTCAACCTTTGATAGTTGGCAAATTAAGTACCATAGAATGCCATTAATTTTGTTTCACCATAGCTTAGAAAGAAATTTATAGTATTGCAATTATATCACTACAGTTCCCTTTTGTTTCACTGGGGCTGTACAACAATTTAGACATTAAAAGGTACCTTAGACCATCCCATTGCATTATTGATCACGAAAAGTAACCCAATCACCTTTAAAAAAAAAAAATTCTGATGCTTTAGCAGTGGTTCAAATGAGTTGTATCTTTGTTATGTCGTAAATGTGGGTTTTGATAGCAGTAGAAAGTTGAGAAGACCTTTTGTTTTTAGAATTCCAGAGCTAGAAATAAGGAGACTTAGAAATGATGTAATCCAGCCACATTTTTCTAAATATGTGGAATAGAGGCCAAGAGAAGTTAGTGAATGGCTCAGAATCAGGACTAGAACCTAATTCTCCTGATTGTCAATGAAATGTTCTTTGCAATAAACCACTATACCATCCTACTTCCTCTTGATTAGCATATGGTCAAGTATATTTTCTTTAGGGGTCTAAATTTTATTAAAATGTGTTAAAATTATTCTGTGGGCTGTTAAAACATATATTAATTTTTGTGTTGCCTCCTAAAGATGAGAATTTGCCTTATCTACATTTTAAACAATTTGGGTAGGTCACTCTCATTCATGCAAGAAGACATGAAGTGCTAAATGACTGAAGTCATAACCTGGATACTGAAAATAATGCTATAATTTGGTTTGACTTTTTGGTATATGTTGTCATTCTGGTCAGCGGATATGTTCCAGTTATGGAAATTAAAAATGGATAGTATTTGGTAGCATCTAAACCAGGCCTGCACAACCTGCGGCCTACCAAAGGATTTCAGGCCATCCACAAAAAATGTTGAGGATATTTTCTTCTACATTTTTGGCCAGTCGCCTGAAATCCTTTGGTGGGCGGCAGGTTGTGCAGGTTTGATCTAAGCCAACGTTTTAGGAATGTTAATTTAT